CTAGAGGCGCCAGAGTACCGGCGTCGAAGCTCGACCGAGAGGCGCCCACTAGAAGCTCGGATTAAGAGGTAGGTGCTCCGCCCGAGATGAGGCTGTATGCGCTCGAGCACCAGATTCGCGAACGGGTCAAAAATGTCGTTGTCGCTGGAAATTTCTAGCCGGAGGCCACGTAGATCTCATACGACGACGATGGTGTGCTCGGGCTCGTCGCCGTGGACGTTGGTGACGAGAATCGCAGCGGCAGAGATCATTCGGTAGGGCTGCAGTGTATGGGGTCCGCGATCCACGACTTCAACACGTTTTCCGAGGTCACACGACGCTTCCGGACCGAGTATATGACCCACCGGAGGGATGTGGCCAGCGCCTCGCACGTGTGGCGCTCCGGATGCCCGCGGTCAACGCGTCGGGAATGTCGTCGGCGCCGAGCTTCGGCCGCGCGCGCAGTCACGTTTTGGGCCCGCACGCATCGAACCAAGCACGCGGAATCTCTTATACCATCACTAAGGACCCGCACACGCCCCAAACGAGCCAGAAGCAGCGTTTCCGACGAGTCCGCACTCGGGCCTCTGAGAGCGTGGGCCGCCTACCGCTGTCACGCGACCGTTTTGAGCCGCGAAGTCGCCATCACGAACGGTTGGAACGGCTCCGCGCCCTCGTGGGGTACATGCGCCGCGGCCGGGGCCGTTTTTCCTTCGGCTACCGCGGCCTACGCGCCGCTTTGAGGCCCATCGAGGGCTAATCGGGTGTTCACCACCCAAAGGTTTGGGTGTGCGCGGCACCATTGCGGCAGCATCGCTGCGGCAAGGCGGCGCCGGCGAAGCCGGCCAGCCAAGCGCCGCGGATCGAGTCCAGTTCTGTTGCTGCCGCGCACCGCCGCCAGGTTCCAGCACCTGAGCCCTTGCGAACACCGCGCCCGTCGAACCGCAGACACCCCGCGCGACGCGGCGGCCGCCGAGGCGCGCTGCCGATTTTGAAGCCATGAACGCCCTGCGGGCCCTGCGACCGCTCGCGACGCGCGTCCCCGCGGGGCTCCGCGCGAAGTCGACGCTGCCCGCGTCGACGACGCTCAAGACCGCGGCGCCGCTCACCGTCCTGTCCGACGAGCTCGCGCGCGCCGCGGGCGTGTCGAGCGAGCTCTCGAAGGCGCGGCTCTCCGGCTTCGTCGCGATGACGTGCTCCATGGGCTTCGCGGCGACGGGCGCGCCCGTGCTGACGGCCGACGCCGCCCTCGCGACCTACGGCGTCTTCGCGACGTCGGCCTGCGCGAACACGCTGAACCAGATCTACGAGATCCCGCGCGACTCGCGGATGGCGCGGACGGCGCACCGGCCGCTGCCCAGCGGCCGCTGCAGCACGCCCGAGGCGCTCGCCTTCGCCGGCGTCACATCTGTCTCCGGCGTCGCGGCGCTCGCGACCCTGTCGCCGACGGCCGCGGCGCTCGCGGCCGCGAACATCGGCCTCTACTCCGGCGCCTACACGATGATGAAGCCGCGGTCCGAGTGGAACACGTGGGTCGGCGCCGCCGTCGGCGCCGTGCCGCCCTTAATCGGCTGGGCCGCCGCCGGCGGGTCCCTCGTCGGCGGCGGCGAGGCCCACGCGGCCGCGCTCGCGGCGTCGAACCTGGAGCCGCTCGCGGCGGCCGCCGCGACGCTCGGCGCGACGCCCGCGGAGCCCTGGCTCCTCGCGGGCATCCTGTACCTCTGGCAGTTCCCCCACTTCTTCGCCCTCGCCTGGGTCCACAAGGCCGACTACGCCAAGGGCGGCTTCGCGATGGTCCCCGTCCGCGACAAGGCCGGCCACCGCACCGCGTCGTTGATCGGCCGCTACGCGGTCTACTCGACGGCGCTGCCGGTCCTCGCCTACGCGACGGGCGCGACGTCGGCCATGTTCGCCCTCGAGGGGACGGCGCTGAACGCGGCGCTTCTAGCGGCCGCGGCGAAGTTCCACGGCCAGCGGACGACGGCGAACGCGCGCTTGGTCTTCCGCGCGACGCTCCTCTACCTGCCGCTCATACTTTTCTTCTTCGTGCTCCACAGCACGCGCCTCAAGGACGAGGGCGACGCCGACGCGCGCGCGCCGCCGACGCTCGGCGACGCGGTCCGCCCGCTCCGGGACCTCGGCCGCGCGCTCTGCCTCCACGAGCTCCTCCCCCGCGACGAGGCGCCGTCCGCCGTCGTGCCGCCCCTCTGCCCCGTCGGGCCCAAGAAGAAGACGGCCGGCGCCGACGACGCGATCAAATAAACTTCTTCGCCTAAAAAGAACGGCAAAGTTGCACCCAGAAAAAAACGCCAACGATGGTCCGTGCCTCGGGGCTGGCCCTGCGGCTCGCGGTCGCCGTCGCCGCGTGCGCGCTCGTCGTCCGCGGCGACGAGTTCGACGCGCCGACGCCGCGGCCCGCGGCGTCGCCGGCGAAGAAGCCGTCGGCGAGCGACGGCGCCGACCCCGTGAGCGACGAGATCTGGACGACGATGACGATCAGCGCCACGGCCTTCGTCGCCCTTTCATTGCTTTTCGACCTGCTCCGGTCGCACCTCTGGTGGGTCTACGGCCCGCGGCTGCACCACGCCAAGTACCGGGCCGCGACGCCGCCGGACCCGGGGCCCGGCCCGTTCCGCTGGGTCGCGGCCGTCGCGCGGCTCTGGAGCGACGCGGAGTTCCTCGAGTACGCCGGCGTCGACGGCCTCGTCATGATCCAGTTCTTGAACTTCGCCGCGGACCAGGCCTTCTTCGCGGCGCTCGTCGGCTGCGCGGTGCTCGTGCCCACGTACGTGACCGCGCGGGGCCTGAGGGACGCCGCGGACGACGACGACGCGTCCTACGGCTTCTCGCTGACGACCGTGTCGAACATCCACTGCGCCAAGAAGGACGCGCTGGGCAAGCAGCCCCTCTTCCCCAAGTGCCTGAACCAGAACTCGAACTGGCGCTTCGCCGTCGTCGTCGCGGGCGCGTGGCGCTTCGCCGGGGCCGAACTCGCATCTTCAACCCGACTTCAATGTGATCGTGTTCGAAAGTGTCGACGCGAGGTTTTCCGCCGTGCTTCGAGAACCCGACGAGAGCCATCGATTCGTCCAAAGATCAGCCGAATCGACGTCGACGCGGCCGAGCTCGTTTGGTCGGAATCACCGAAACCGGCGGTTGATTTCGGCCCAGGCTCTTCACGCTCCGCGCGCTGAGCCGCCTCAGCGTCAAGTACCGCAACTTCGTGCGGCTGCGCCACTGGTACCTCACGAGCCGCCTGGGCCGCCGCGCGTCGCCGAGGGACGCGCAGCACTCGCTCACGGTGCTCGTGGAGAACGTGCCGCTCCGGTACCGGAGCCGCGTCGCGCTCCAGCGCAAGTTCGACCGGCTCTGCGGGCCCGGGTCCGTCGACAGCGTCCACGTCATGGTCGGCGGCCTCGAGCACCTCAATGGCCTCGTGGGGCGGCGGGACCGCGCGCGCGCGAAGCTCGAGGACGCGCGGAGCCGGAGGGCGCGCCTCGCGGCGCTCCGCGAGGGCGACTACCGCGCGCGCGCGTCCCTCGGGACCGGCGCGGCGCCGCGCGAGCGCCCGTCCGCGGTCTGGTTCGAGCGCTTCCTGCACCGCCAGGCCTCGGCGCCGCCGACGGCCGACGCGGCGCCGGAGACGCCGCGCGCGGCGGCGCCCTGGCCCGACCCGGAGTCGGCCGCGCGGTCGCCGCCGCCGTCGCCCGCGGCGCCGGCGCGGGCGACGTCCTGGATCTCGCGCGTCCTCGCCTTCCCCGCGCTCGACGGCGAGCCGCTACCGCCCGCGCGGGACGCGCCCGCGCTCGACGG